ATATAAATAGGGAACTGAGGGTTTCATCCGATGTACCTGATGTGGGAATATACTTGTCCCGTTGTGGTGGCAAATCAACGAGTCCGTGGTGTAGTGGTAGAGTGCTAAACTCAATGATCAAAGTTGCCGGGTTCGAATCTCGCGGGTTCCAACCCTTGACATTAAGTATGACTGGCTGATGACGGCTAACAAGCCAGAAATGGCCATACCGGTCTCCCTTGTCTTTGCCAGTTCCCTTCCATATATATGATATGTATTAATTTTTAAAGGAAACCAACGAGAGATCACAATTATCGACATCGCTGTTCACTTAAAAATTCCATTCAGGCGAAAACTGTGTCCAGTTTTTGCCTTATACTGAACGTACGGTTTAAAGAGAGCACGGTACTGTTAGTAATTAAAACCAATGCATCAGTCTGTATAACATGCTGGCCGTTAAGCAGTAGAGATGAGGATAAGCCCGCTGTATCCTCGAACGGTTTCCTCCATGTGCACATGGACAGTGAATTACCTGTTAATTATGTTTTTTGATGCAGGACTTTCGAAGCGCCTACCACACTCCCTCTCCCCTCTCTTACCTGAACCGGTTGTTAAGGCAAACTTAAATAACACCGAAGACTGAATCGCGCGCAGTGGCTGGCAGAGTTACCCAGTCCATCTGCTCATGCCGTACGCACGCTTCATTAAATGAACCAGGTGGATCTAATCCCAACAGAATGGGAGTGGAACGGAGGTCAGATTAAGAAGGAGTAATTGCAGCCTGACTCTCTGTCCTCAGAGGGAAACCGAGTTACCCCGTCAGTTGTTAGCCTGTTGCATTCAGCTGCTACGAAACTTACCGTCTCAATTTAAACCAAATCTTCTGTTTGTAATTTTCCTAAATTTTACTGCGGTCAGCCCATCAGAACTTGGTCTTGAAGTACGTAAAAATTGAAACTGGCCAATGACGCCTATGTCCTATTCTCCAACTTCACTCTTTTGAAGGCAAAGATCTGCAAACAGATCTGTCTATCGCTTGCCGGTGTGGCATCAGTGGTCCCTTTGAAGAGATTCTGAGGTTCATGTGGACTTTCGAGGATAATTCAGAACAGCCTTTGGCGAGTGTACACTTTTGGTTAATTCTCCTCAGGCCATACATTTACATGGGAGGGTTAAATTTAAACAATCGATCGATCGTCTTTCCTTTCAAGCAAGAGCAAATCAGAGCGCGGATTAGTGCATGCCGCTAAGGGAATGCGGGCCACGCTAGATGTGGAGCTTGCACAAAATTCTTTTGGGCGCACTAAACTGGCTTCCTCAACCGGATCGCGGTTGCTTCTGCTGTTGCTAGCCTGAGGAGAATTTACCGAAAGTGTACACTCGTCAAATGCTGTTCTGAATTATCTGATGGGAATTTTTGCGTCTTTAGAGGACTTGAAATCGTCTAATGGGTCATTTGCGCCCTCCGAATTACGACCTTAAGTGCAGTTATTGAGGAGAATAAACGCCGATGATCAAATGTTAACCGTTCACCCGAACTAGTTCACGGTTCACTTATATGCCTCTCGCGACAGGACATGGGAACTGCAACCGCGCATAATACGTGTGGCTTTGGGTCAAATTTCTGGGAAATAACGGTCAAGAGTAGAGTCAGTTTTGAGATTAGGATTTCAATTAAGACTTAGGTTAAGTTTAGGACACGAGAATATCTAAATTTTCTGCCTCTACCACGTGGGTGCGGCTGTCGGTGGAGAACCACGTAAAATAAGGGTTCTTGAGGTAAATTTCAGGAAATAAAAATACTCATATGCCTAAATGCTAGCATAAAACTATACTGTGACCTCAATCTTAACCCAACCCTGAACCTAAACTCTACATTTACCAGGATCCCAAACCTTTAGCTTTAGTATAATATTGACCCCAAACTCTGACTTTAACTCCAACTCATTGATGAACGCCCACCCGACCGTTACTATTACCGGCAAAGACAAGGGAGACTGGAATGGCTACTTCTGGCTTATTAGCCGTAGTCAGCCAGTAATACCCAGAACCAGGTGGAGTCCAACCTGAGCCTCGAACTCGCGACTTCTTTGATCAGAGTAGAACGGCCTAACCATTGAGCCAAGAGCTCGTTGTCTTGCCGGGCTAAGTCGAGGGATATCGACACTCGTTGATAAAAGTTTACCCGACCGCTAACGGAACTAATCTGTTCAGCTCTGCCTGAGGTCTCGACAGAGGCCCTGACAGTCGTAACAGTCGGTAGCGTAGGCAGATAGTGTTAGTGGCAAAGACATAGGAGGTGGGGGTGACCATTTCTGGTTTATTAATCGTCATCAGCCAGTCATATCCAGACCCGAGTGGCATCCCACCCGAGCCTCGAACTCGCGAACTCTTTGATTACAGTCAAAGGTCCTAACCGAGTTGAGGCTTGCGTGGGACGCCACTTGGGTCTGGATATGACGGGCTGACGACGGCTAATAAGCCAAAAATGACCATTCCCGTATCTCCTGTCTTTGCCGCTAATACTATCTACCTACACTACCGATTGTTATGACTGTCAAGCCAACCCAATGAACTAAATAAACGACCTCAAGTTTGTGTTAAATCCTTCAATCCTCAACCTTGCATCAGATATGCGACCTACTGTACACTACCAGCTGCTACGGCTGTCAGGGCCTCTGTCGAGGCGCCAGGCAGAGCAGGACAGATGCGTTACGTTAGCGGTCGGATGGACTTTTATCAATGAGTGTCAATATCCCTCGACTTAAACCGGCAAGACAACGAGCTCGTGGCTCAATGGTTAGGCCGTTCTACTCTGATCAAAGACGTCGCGATTTCGAGGCTCAAGTATCTGGGTAAGACTGTCTGACTACGGCTAATAAGCCAGAAATAGCCAGTCCAGTCTCCTTTGTCTTTGCCGGTAATAGTCT